ATTTCTATATTTAGTTTAGTATGTAGAATCATCATAGATTATAACCAAGGAACTAATTGTATATGCATGTTGCAGGTGATGACCTTTTCGAAGACTTGAAGACAAGATGAAAATCAAGAATCAAGATAAAAGAACAAAGAACTGAAAACTAAAGTTCAGTTGAAAACAGAAAACAAGCAAATAAGAAATCAAAAGTAAACTGAAGCCTATGGAACTAAACTCTAGGGTAGCAACCATTATTTAATTGGGAAAAATAATCATAGTTAAAAGCAATATACTAATACTTACCTCGCATTCTCTACGGGATGTTTGGTTTGAATGAAAATGAAGGAAAAGAAAAGAAATTAAAAATAATAATTTTCATGAGATCTAATCTAACAATTCAAGAACTCAAAATCTGATTCTAAAGACGATAGCTTCAGAAGCATACCTGGAATTGGAATGAAGACCCAAATCCCACGAATCTCAGCAGAAGCCCCTCGTAGACGGACGGGAAAATCTTGTCTTCACTGAGGATCTATTTAGCCATTTAGGTATTGTACCGCGGACCACACGCCGAAGAGGAAAGGAAAAGGGCTAACTCGTGGCGGGTACGGGTAGAAACTTTGGAAAAAAACCCATCTTTCCTCACCCGATAGCCCAGAGCAGCTATGAGGTTAACAAATAGCTTATCGGGTTCGAAGCCAACCCGATAACCCTAGTCGTGAAAAAAAACCCGCTAATCTTTTAGCTCATGCTAAGCACCATCTAATCGTAATTCACCTACATTTCATTGCGCTGCAAAGATCATACTAATCTTTTAGCATGTGCTAAGCACAATTTTATCGCAATTCATCCTCATTTCATAAATTATAGGATTCGCAATTGATCGGGAATTAATTTATTGATATAGATGCATGTATCTTAACTCCTGAACCACAAATCTTAAGTAAACAATTTATCCAAATAAAGAGTTGCAATATCTTAACTCTTGAATCGCAAATCTTTTTTTGCCTTAGATGATTCATCTCATATTATAAGTGATGCTAATTGTATCAACTTCGATGTTCCATCCTGCTTTGATATATGTATGCATGTATGTTTTTATATATGCATGTATATGTATTAGAGGGTATTTTTAAAAGAAATGTTTTAACATACCAACACACTTTTATAATAGTATTAGAGTAGATAACCGAATTTTATGAGATTTGACTTACAACTGATTTTTTCAGTAATAATCACTATCACATTTATAAGTATGAAAATATATCCAATAATGATAGTGCTAACTATTATCGTCATATATAAAAATGTTTGGTAATTTAAACTTTTAAAAAGTCTGTCCACTCAAAGTCCCACAAAAGCCGCACTTAAGTCCCACAACTTTTTAATACTAGTATGCCACACGTGCGTTGCACGTGATGCATATTAAGAACTACAAGAGTTTAAATATTTAAAGGTCAATTAATTTTTCACTCATCAATTTTAGAATTATTATTTATTAAATACATTCTTCGCATAGAATATACGATACAAATGCATGCTATGACGCAAAGCTTTCTCTTGAATATATTAAGAAACTTTCATTTCTATATATAAAAAAGTATATATTCTAAATCATCTGTTAGTGCAAATTTAGAGACTAATGGACATCAAACATCAGTTGCATCCCCTGACAATTTCACATTTGAAGAAAATAGGAAGAGCACTCAGCTTCCCCTAGAGAATCATCCTGAGAGGAGTCCAATCACAGATACTACACCGAGTGAGAGTCGATGCCTGGAATATCCAGGAAGATGTATATATATGTGTGTATATTTGCATCAGATGATTTAATCAGTTGATCAACAGAAGCACAAGAAAAGACTTTGTTTGAAAAATTCACGATGATGTTTTAGGTAAGATATATCATTATATTTGAAAAATAACAAGTCAACAATTCCTGCTTCTCCCCCTACATACCTGCAGGTGAAGTCCTGTTTTAGATTCTTTTAGCCTTGTAAATGCTGGATCAGATAATAATTTTTTAGCAAATGTTGGTTTTTGTCAGGTGCTACAATGTCTCATTTATCTTCAGTAGACAAAGGCTGATCATTCTGGTTCTCACCATCGTTGACATACAGATGTTTTCATATCCAAAGAGGAAGAAGCTTCTTAGCCATCTAACTTCTTTGTATTCTTAAGAAATTTAAGAGGCATTCCAAGTCCCTCTACCTTTGTTTCACCTTTAGTCTTCTCGCTGTTATGTTTCTTATCTTTATCAGCCACAGGTTTCTTCTCTTTTTCTGCATTCTTTTGATCTTGCAGGTGCTGTATCCAGCAAGCTCCAAGTTCCCATCTCATGAAGACGTTTTCGTCAGTCTTCTCTTCGTCAAGCCTAGCTAGACTATCATTTAACAATTTCTCTACAAAAGCTTGGCCTACAGTAAGCTCCTCATGCTTTGAGCTCATAGCGTGATTAGCTGCTCTTATCTGCTCTTTTATAGGTTTCGCGTGAAGAAACATTCTCTAACTGAAAGTAGTCAGTAACTACATTAGAAGCAATTATATAGATAGATGAGAACGAAAGATGTACATGCATCCTAGGCTACCTGTTAATGTTTTGAGCATTAGATCCCCCATCAGGTTGGTCCTCAATATCAATGGCTTGCAAAGGGTCCAATTTACTTTTGTCAAAGTTGTTGACTTTCACGATTGCAATATAACCACAATACCACACATTCATGACGCCCAAGGTGATGAAATCCTATATTAATAACAATGAATACAATTCCTCACAAAAAAGAAAGAATAAAAAAGAAAAGAAAGGAAACAACGAATACAAGAAGAAGAAAAACACTTGGTATCACAGTTTATTAAAAGAGAATAATAGTGAATACAGAGTTAAGAGTTTATCCCACATGAGTTGTTGTCTTTTCAGCAGCAGTGATTCCTTTCAGTAAGTTTCTCTCTATAAGATGTTTGCGGTCCATTCCCGTTTTCCTATTCCCATCAATCTTTGTATCCAACTTGCAGCTTGCATCTGAAGTATCTCTGGTGACAGTAATGTTGAAATCCCCTACTATCTCGAAGTGCAAAATTTCATCTTTCTCAATTGAAGAAGCAATACGTTTTTCCATTACATACTGTATGGAAGCAATGGCTCTAAAAATTGCAACATCTACAAAAAGGCTATGGAGCAGAAAAGCTCTCCTATCTCGTATATGCCTCTCTTCTGCAGTTTTGCACAGCATGGAAGTGAGAAGTAGAAACTCATTAGCCCAAGGTATCATGTCACTCCTATTTATAAACTTGAGTAGGCATTAGTACATACATTTGGACCGCATTGGTTCGGAGAAACCTGGAATCGAAGAAGGCTTGTAACATAATGATCCATTTTAGTTTCTATTAATGTAGATACCTTTATGTAACACATATGTTAGCAATATATATAGAACACACAATGCTGATTTAAAGCAAACGACATATACATCGTATTCCCGAAACTCGATCAGATGATACATTATCAATCTTTTGAAATGTGAGATATGAATAAGTCAACATTGTAATTGCACCAGTAATAAAACTATTGTTGTAATACTATACAAACTATATAAAGCATTACTTTTGAAAAGAAAATATACATCGATAAAAATCTAGTCAAATTCCATAGCGAATGACTGACCTGCAGTGCTCCAAAATCCTCGTGATAGATGTTTCTTCAGTCCCATTTATCCGAAGCTTATGTTTTCTCAAATGGGCAGAAGATTTGTGTGGATAACTTAGCTATTCGTGATTGACACACAATTATGGATGATGACTGGTGGACTATTTGCATAAATAAAAAGGACTGCAAATTTTTAGTAGAGACAAAAGTAACTGCACATAAATATCATGTTTTTACATTATAAAACAAGGTTTTCCAAAAAACGAATCTTGACTTAAAAGATTCGAAGACATAAATAGTGTTAGAAGTAAGTTTTGGTTTCATCACCCAATCACTTACGCAAAAGCGAATTTGCTCTTGTAAATAGTATTTGGTTTGATAAATCAAGGGTATATGCATACAATTATAAAAAGGCAACAAGAGTTTGTTACATTATATAAATTTAAAATTGGATAGGCAACAACACAAAAAATTGTGAAGCTTTGAAAATGAAGTAATAAATTTGAAAACTATATCATATTTAACACACAAACCGTATCATTCATAAAGTCAATATTAAAGAAACATAAAGATCTAAACATAAGTTCTTTGTCACATTATCTAAGCTGATAAAAACTTCCAACAATAAGATTCACAAACTCGTAGACCTAAATTTATTGACTTGACATTTATTCTTCTAAGACTAAGACATCTAAACTCATTCTCCTGATGAAATTTCCAGATAGCTGCAAGAATGCCCATAGCTTCAGTAAATAATTTATATGCTTCTTCTTCGTCTTTGATCTTAGCAGCAAAAGAAAATTGACTTGAGCAGTAGTAGGAACATTTTCGCTAGGGACATAATCAGGATCTGAATTCTCAACCTTCATTTTTTTTGTTAACTTCATAAGAGCTCTCCTCATCATCATAATACTCCTCAATCGATGGTTCTTCTTCATCGTCATAAAGTCGATTTGAAGTAACAATTGCTTGCTTGTTGGTTGAGTGACCCTCATTTATCATCTTTTTTATCACCTTCATCGTCACATGATGAAATTTCAATAATTTAAAATATGAATAATGTAAATATTTAAAATATACAGACAACCCAAATGTAAATATTTAAAATATGAATAATGTACGGATCTGGGTTTACTGTTTTTTTTATGGCTGAGAATAAATGAAGGCAAAGGATGCACACTGAATGGCTTTACAGTCTTACTAGAATTTTGCATAATACTTCCATTCTCAGTGGATGTTGAAAGCTGAGCAGGAGCAGAATTTCTCCCTGAAAATTATAGATAACTGATCAATTTACTGAAAAGACATATTTGCATTAGTTACATTAACTCTAGATGAATGTCCTTACTGTCCTTATCAAATGCTACTAACTCTAGATGAATTACTGTCCTTACTTATCAATTGCTGTTAACAGTGAGAAATAAAACTACACCTCTTCCAGTTCATGGAGATATTCTCTTCATACAAGGATGTCAACGTCAATGAGTTCTCATAGGTTGATGGAACGTGATAACATGTCAACAAGGGTATGTCATCCCTGTCAACTCCTTAGAATGAGCTGCTGCATCAGAAGCCAGAATGCTGCCGATGGAGATGTTGATTACATTGACAAGGTCGTTGTTGAGCTACAACGAAAGAAGTCATGGTCTTGTTACCTTCACAGGGCAAAGCATAAAAAAAAACCAAAGGATTGACAGTATAGCTACGAAAAATTCCATGACAAATGTTGCGTTAATTGGTAGAGCATGATATCAGAAAGCATAATCTTTTGGTACATTCTTTTTTTAAACTACAGGAAAATTCAAAAGTTGTCAGGTTCATGCCAAACCCAAAAATGAAGTGAAACCATGTGGACTGTTTCCGACTTGCAACAATCTATTTGACAGTAAATGCCAAAATGATCTGGTAACACTATTTAGTTCTGGATGTGTATCAAAATGAAATGATTAGCCATTAAGGCTACATGCTTATCTTTTCCACTCACAGTTTAAAAGACCTTTATCTATCTGAGGCCCATTCATATCTCCTTTTTATCACCAACTCCAACCTATGAAAACAATCTACAATCCTTCCAGAAAAGTACATAACCATAACCATATTCCTTATTCCCATTTCAGTTCTTGCTTAACATATTCCAGATGAGAGAAGTATTTTTCTCATTGGAGGGTCTTGGTAAATATTTTTAGCACTTTTATGTTCTGCTGTAGTTGGCTGTCTACCAATCAAATCATTCATAACCTTAATTGCCTTGTCATCCTCATACTCCAAGTTAGCAGACAACCAACTGATGCAAATCCCAGTTTTAGCACTCATAATCTATGATATTCTTCCCTGCAATATTAGAGCTTTTCCCTAAGTTCTGAGCAGCTTAACTTCATGCACATATATGATACATATATGATATATCACTGTTGGCTTTATGGTTCATCACAAGAACATAAACCATCGCCAACATTCAATTACATATGTCATTCTTGGGTTTATGGTTCAACACAAGAACATAACACCTTGTCAAACACCACCCAAGTTATGTCATATGTCGTACGCTGCTCATATCTAACAAATTGTGCATCCTCGATTTCTAGTTATCACATTCCTAGCATTTAAAGCCTGGCACAATAAGACATTACCATGTACAGGCTTCATGTTTTAAACTATAAGAAGCATTCTCAGAAATAAAGATATGCTCTCACAGGACTCCATTGTCTTTTTCCACACAGTTATGGATTTGAGAAGATCAAAAGTATGATAGCTTTTCGTAAGTGATATAATAGAAAGGTATATTGTTCAAAAATCATGTGAAATACGGACCAAAAGGTAAACAAAGATGCAAATTGGCAATATAGACAAATTGAGGCCAAGAATATCTTACCCATTGAAAACCCTCCTTATCTTGTAGTGCTGCACCTATCATGCTCTCACCAAAATTTGCAATCTGGAACGCTATAACACATACAATAGCCTGCGATACATCAATCTGCACGAGAAAATTGACGAAGATGGTGAAAAATGAAATAAGTTAAATGTGGAAAAAGAAACATGAGCATACTCGTACATGTTAACAGTCATACAGGAGGAAAGAACAGAATATGTCAAGCGTAGCCAAAAAAGGACTGGTAACTTAGAGAGCATCCAAGGGATCAAAGGGACCACACAGGAGTTCTTTATCTCTGGTGAATGCCTGGTGATTTATTGTGGGCATTAAAAACTCAACAGTTCAATAATTAAAAAAAAAAAATTTAATTTACCTTAATAGCTTTCTACTCCTCCAATCAATCTCCGACACCTAACAGCAACAATCAACAATCAATCAATACCAAAAATAAAAGTAATTCATCAAACAATCAAACTGAGAATATGAATAAGAAATTACAAGAAGGTAATAAGAATAACCAATATCCATACTTACAATTGGAAAAAAAACCTTCTTTGTTCCATCAAAATTGAAGCAGAAGGTATTTATAGAATCACAACATAATTTATAGGGATTGGAAAGCCGTAGCAGTTACTACCAATATCCATACTTACATTGCCAATGGTTGAAAACGGAAGGAATTGAGGTGAGGAGCTCGATCGTCGAAATAAGGATGAATTTAGAGATAGCTAGCGAGAGGGAGAGGGAAACTGAAGCGAGGAGTCCGAACGTCAATTTAATTTAGAGATGGGGAGGGGGAGGGGGAGAGGGAGAGGGGCAGGGGAAAGCACGGATTTGGGCGTTATCAAAGAGAGAGGGAGAGGGGAAGGGGAGAGATCAGATAATGAAGGAGGATAGAAGAGTCGATTATCAAAGAGAAGGAGAGGGGCAGCGGAAAGGGCGGATAACGAAGGGGAGATTGAGATTCTTTGCGTTATGAAAGATGATGGGGAATAAATAAAGGGATAACATATATACATATAGGATAAAATTAGAATTACGAAATTTGAAGAGGGCAAATTGGGTATGCAAAAGTTTTGAAATCTGTTTTCTCTTTGTTTGGTTCGTTTCCTAGATATAGGGAAATACAATTCCATGTAAAGAAATTGAAGTTTTGAGTTTTCCAAACTTTTCCAAGAAATAGATTGTTTCGCTTTGGTTCGCATAAAAAAATGGTGGGAAACCAATGTATTTACTTTTCTTGTGTTTGGTTCACATGGAAAAAAAAGGAAAACTTTTGTTGATTTGACATTTCTCACTTTTCTTGTGTTTGGTTGGTTTTAAAGTTTGTAGGAAAAAATGTTTATGGTCACCATGGTAAGATTACCCCCACTACATACAAATTTATTTTTGCTCGTTATATTAGGTAATCTTAATCATATAAAAATTCGAATGTAATATGAACAAATAATAATATCCCCAATGAACTATTACCAACCATCAAGAGTGGGACCGTACGTCATAGTTTTCGCAGAAGCCAACATGACCTTGATTACCGTTTGAATGCAAGCCAATTTTATACAACATTGCTTTGAACATCTAAATCTAAACACACATCAAATTACGTGCGAGTTTAGACAAGTTTAGAGCTATACTACGTAAGCATTCAACTTGACCAGAAACTAACAAGGAAAACAAGCACACATCAATAAGCTTCGCTAGGAACAATAAAAACAGTCGATGTACATTCGAATACGTACGAAACTTTTCTGTGTGCATATCAGTTTGATTTATGAAAAAAGAGTTGAAGGATCAAGACAAATTTGAAGTTGTCCCAAATAACAGAGTCCACAAGTGGATCTTGCTGTAGCAATTCCCTTAGGTTGTTTTCCACCTCTCCCACCTGTTTTTCTAGGTACTGCTTCGAAGTATACATACCCAGAAAAAAAAGAAAACAATAGTTACTGTCCAGAATGATCATAATGCAGCAACCTACAATTTGCATATTATAAAAATCTGCAATCATGTTGTTTGTGTTGTCCTGACATAAAATTCAAACCAACAGGTATAACAGTGCAACTTCCAGAATCAGAATGCAACTAATAGATTCCACTCATTTGAAATTTTGATTTTATTGCCTGTTGGAGTACAATGTGATTTTTACCAAAAGTCGAGATAGTAGAAAAATGATTTTACAAAGTAAAGCAGATAGTAATGCGACTGGACAAATGAATACAACACCATCGGAACAGCAGAGTAAAATGATCAGAGAAAAGCAAAAAAAAATGAAAACATTAATCTGACAAACAACTCAAGTTTAAAGAAGTACAAGCTTAGATAACCTACCTATTCATGGACTCTACCTTGTGCTCTTCTCGCACAATCAATTTAGCCTACCTGTCTTGCCCTCCCCACACATTTATCTTCCTTTCATTCACAATTATGGATTCTGCCACTCTGCCTATGAAAATATCGGCTACTTGCATTGCTTTAGGGTTAACCTTCTCATTGGTGAATTTCAGTCAAATTCTTGCAGCCAAGTTTGCACCAGCACAATGACCAAGTGATTTGAATCACACTTGAACATCTACAACAAGCATGTCTTTGATCCAAAACATTTGCTGATAGATATGAATAGGATCCATATTACTCATTCCAGGGACCAAATTTTCCTTCTAGTCATATTACGATCCGGATTAAAATACACAGTTTCTCTTGTTCATTGTCTGCAAATTTCAGGTTTAGAAATAACTCTACTACATGGAATCACACTGGATAGCTATACAGTAAAATGGTGATTTACAGTACCAAATCAAAGTTTGCAATGCCATAAGTTGTCACTTAGCTCACAAGCCAAAACATAAATTAGGAAGTGTAAGATGAAAGAAATTTTATTTAGATTTTACTGCTGAAAACTACCAAATTTAAAGTTTACACGATTCTAAGCTCCACACAGGTCTAAAACAAACGAACATATAAATTAATCTAGGTATACTAGAACTGTAAATAAAGGAACTTAAACACACAGAATATTTCCTAAAGAAGTGATTACAATCCTGGACATTGGTGGAAAACTTTCTGAAACATGGTCTTGATAGGCTACATGTGATTAATCACAGCTTGCAAAGATGTTTTTAACAAAATAACTATTTATCAGAGATGGATATTTAAATAGAATGAAGACTATAACAGTTTTGTTCCAATACTAATGCTTGTCTTGTATGTAGAGATGGCAACTGCAACTAAGAAAATCGGTAGAAGCCTCATCAATTCAAACTAATATAAATTAATATGTTTCCACTCCATGGGATGTTCTAAGAGTATGGCTCTGTCACGTCCAAACCCGTGAGCCTGTTGGAGCGATGAAAGCCATGCGACCCACTGAGTGCAACACATGTTTTAAACCCAATTACACTTTTGTAAGTCTGGGAGTATTTGGGGCATCACAGGTTCAGAACCTGATCCATTCTGCCTCATATTACTTTAGACACGCAAGTTTTACATTGTTATCTCAAGATTTGGTAGTATGGCCATTAAAATATCAATGCAATGCAGTAATGCTCCACTCTGATTTCCAAATGATGATACAGATCACACTTGGAAGGTTTCATTGCAGATAACATGATAAATGTATCTAAAGAATTTTGTATAACTAAAACCAACCTAATGGTGTCCTTGTCCTTCAAAACACATGTTGACTCAAAAGGTGGTAAAACAAAACCATCCATCTGCAACGCAACACAAAAATGAATAAGCCAGAGATTATGAGGAAAAATGATAATGAATAACCTAGAGAATATGTTATGCATGCCATGAATACATGAGTACATGTAAGCGATCATAATGCTACAAACTGAAGAACATGCTAACACACAACTCACTGAAACGTGCTTGCAGTACAAACTATGTGCTTAGACCCGCAAGCACGTGGACATATGCATAACACTAACGTCAGTAGTGTAGTGAAGATTGTGAGATGTGATATAAAAGTCAATGTTCACTCATATAATTAAGACCGGTAAGGTATTGAATGTTAGTACGTATAATATAATGGCCTAACAAAGGCATCATAGCAATGTTCCAAATCAATTACTACGGTAGTAAGATAACACAAGATTTCATAAAAAGAAGATGCATCTCTACTTTTGTTTTTGATTGGCGTTGAAGCAACGTTAATAATCTGTATTTGATCATATAATTTCTTTTCTCTTTCAATCTTTCATCTTAAACTACAGGGAAACAATGAAGCCATTTTCTCTTACAGCTTCCACATGTCACAATTTCTTCATAGTTTGTTGTACTAAACTCTAAATAAAAAGAATTCCAGCATTACAAAGTGAATAATATTAAAAGCTGATTTTAAAAAAATTATGAAAAAATAAAAGAACTTCCCTTTTCGCAGCAAAAGGCAAAAGATGAGGACATGTTTAACAAAAAAGTTTTCCTTTTTCAAATCAAGACATTGCATTTATCTCAAAAAGAGAATTTTTTCCTCAATAACACGACGCATGACACTTGAATCCTCAATTTCTCACAGTACAACCCAAATCATCAAGTCCCAAACTCCAAAATGTTGCTAATCTAGGGATCTCACAGAGAGAAGGAGGCCATTAGGGCAAGATCGCTGGAGATTGAAGCTCCTGTACACGAGCAAAGCGAGGTCGGAGATAGTGGCAATCTCCGGCCTCAGGAGAATCCAGCAGTGCTTCAGGCCCTCTGATCTCTGAGACTTCGTCAGCATCTTGCGATCGTCTAAGACCACTCGAACCCGTAAAGGGTCTTCCATGGCGATGGAGGAGGAGAGAGGAGATCAGAGATTTTGGGGCAGAGTTTTTGGGAGATGAGCGCTCCTTAAACCCTTTTGTGGCCTCGGAGAAATAAAAGGGGAGGGACAGCGTCGCCAAAGATCAGAGATTATTGTCGTCAATCATCAGATCCGAATACAGGGACAAAGCAGGAGTTTCTGGCGGGAGGAGAGCGCGGAGGTAAGTGTAGCTCGTCGAAGAAATCAACGAGGAAACCAAACAGCCGACGTGGCTGCAGTTTCCGTCGATTTCACCAGCTTGAGCAAGGAATTGGGGTAGAGGAGGAAGTCTGATGTGGCAGGGATTTTTCTTCGGTTTTGCTTGTGAAACCATAGCGAACCAAAGTGGAGAAAAAAAACCGACGGAAACGTTTTATCCGATGTGGAGGGCGAAAAAATGACGTGGCGGCGTTTTCAAAGTTTTCCACCGCTATTATTAGCGAACCAAACAGCCCCTAGAAGTAGTAAGTATAGATATAGATAAATGGAATAAATAAATACTTTACAAATAAAACTCAACTTCACCTACGAAATGTGTCTTCTGATTTCCTTTTGCTTGTACATAATAATTATGATAAATTAATAGTATAGAGATCAAAAGAGATGTAAAACAAAGCGAACGATTTCCATTAGTATATTGTTTTTTTTAATGGCTGAGGGGGAGTTTGCAGGTGATTTGTGTTGAAGATGAAACAAATCAGAAAACTATGCTCATTGAATTCTTCACAAAATGCACAATAATTGAAAATACAAGACAATTTCTATGCGTCGAATTTCCTAAACATTACCTGTGGAATAACCAAGCAAAGATTTGGTCTGATCAGAAGCACAAACTTGTAATTGGTCGTATAAATGCTACAAATCAAAAAGAAGGAGAGAGATATTATCTACATCTATTGTTAAATCATGTGAGGGATCCTACTTCTTGAGAATATCTTTTATCGGTTGATGGTGTTGCATATAAGTCCTTCAAGGAAGCTGCACAAAAAAAAGGATTATTGGAATCTGATGGTAGTATTTCTGATTGTTAAGTTGAGGCCACAGCTTTCCAAATGCCTTACGCACTATGAAGATTATTTTCCATTATTTTGGTTTATTGTCAACCATCAAATATAAGAAAATTATGGAACGATCATTTTAAAGCAATGGCAGAAGATTTCAACGGAGGAGTAGATAAATACATGCTACTAGCT